AGTAAAAAAGCACCGGCGAGAAGAGAAGAGGGGCAAGGAAAGCAAGGAGGACGAGGAGGAGGAGGAAGGAGCGGAAGAGGGAGAGGAAAGAAAGGGAGGGCAGCCCCGACCCCGCTAGGGGACGGACAAAGGATCCTAAGCAACGCCTCGGACCCACCTGCAAAAACACTGGAGGAGAGGAGGAGGCGAGGGGCGCAGAGGCGGGAGGAGAGGAGGACGACGAGGGAGGAAACAAGTGGCGCTACCCTACAGAAGCGGGGGCACGCAACGAAAATGTCACGAATTACGGCCCGCTAGTCCGGAAGGAAGACGAGGACAAGAAGGGAGAAAGGGGGAGAAAAGGGGGAGTAGGGAAGTAGTACTGCGCTTAGAACCTGAATCAAACTATGTTCTCGTAACCGACGGGAGCAGCGTCGACCCTGAAGCGAATAGGTCGAGCTTTGCGAGGTGGCCCAACCCACGACGCCAAGCCAAGCGGCAACGCAATGGAACAGAGGTGGTGAAAATAACAAATGAAAGATCCCATGCTACCGCGACAAGCAAACGACCGAGAGAGGAGGAGGAGGAGGAGCAGGAGGAGGAGGACATGCGAGCAGTTATTCCTCACGACGAACGCCTGCTGACGGCGCGCCGCTCCTCTGCGGGCGCCAGCGTACGCGGCCGGGAGCGAGACCGAGCAAGCAAGCTGCCCAGCGGCTCCGCCGCGCAGGCGTCGCGGACGGCCGCTTTGAAAACGGCCCCGGCATCCGCAACTTCGACCACGCGGTGGCGGATCGCCGAATGCGCCCTGTACAGTGCGTAGCGGCAAACGGCCCGAAGAGCGTCGAACTCTTGCCGCGTGCGCGCCGCCCCTGCTCGCGCGGAACTCGCGGAAGCACACGGGCCCAAAAAATTAGGCAGGCACTGAGACGTTGCCGGCCGCGACAGACAACAATGCTCCTCACTCCACCTGTGGTAGAAGCTGCAGTGGGCGTAGTGCTTGATGCTGTCCACGCCCCGGGCGCACCCGAAAGCGCAGCGTCCAATCTGCTGGAAACGCCGCGTGGTGACCCACCCGTTGAAGGCGGTGCGCAGGGCCGCGGCCAGGACGCAGGGCGGCACGAACGCGCCGAGCGCTTCCATGCGCGACCGGAATCGCTGCACCCGCGCCCCGGGAACCACGTCAATGTCCCAGTGGTCCAAGCGGCGGCGCATGAAGACTACCCGGGGCTCGCGGGCGGCCCGCCAGGAAGGCCTTGTTGCGCTCGGCCTGCCACGTGGCCTTCATTTGTTGCCGGGCCCCCTGCGTCGCTGTTCGCGTGCAGGGGAGGTCCTGCGCCAGCTCGAGCTCGTGAACTCTTTCTTCTGCGGCCTCGAGAACGAAAAGCGCGTTCGACTCCAACCGCCGCTCGATGGGGGCCGGCAAAAGCTCGCGAAGAGTGCGCTGCATGCGATGCCGAAGCTGGCGGGCCCGTCTCCGCACTCGCAGGCCACCCTGCCGGGCGCCCTCATAGTGGCAGACGCGCGCCTTCGCCGCAGTCGACGCGCAACGGATGTCCATCAGCTCGCAGGGAAAGCCGAGATCCCGCAGCCGAGTCAAAACCTCGCCGCTCGCCCATTCTCTGGGGCCAGGGAACAGCACGGAGCAGGCCTTGGTCTCTGCAGTCGAGAAAATAGCTGGCAAGGGCCGTAACTGCGCCACGAACATGACGACAGACGCAACGAACACATGGAAGGCCGCGCAAGTGTGAAACACCCCTGGGCCAAGAGCACCCCAGAGCTGGGCGCGGTCCAACATCTTGGCGAGCGGCGCCGCCCATGAATCGCCCCCTGCGCCGGGCCCCAAAAACAAGCCCAAATACTTGGCCTGGTCCATGATGGCCATGGCCCCCCACTCCATGGCTTCGCGGGCTATGGCAGCCCGCAGCGCCGGCTCGTCGTAGGCGAACAAGGGAACGAACACCGTCTTCCGGAAGTTCAGGCGTAGGCCAGAAATCCGCGCGCAGTCGTCGAACATGCGGTGGAGCGTCGGCAACTGGGCGAGGGCGCGCTCAACAAGGATCACCAGGTCGTCGGCGCAGGCCCGGACGAGCGCGGCCGGCAAGAGGCGTTGAATACGACAAAGTAGTAGATCAGAGGCAACTGCGAAAAGGAGCGGCGACAACGGACACCCCTGTCGCACGCCCCGCGTGAGTCGAAAGCCCGCGCAGCGCGTGCCCTGCACGACAACCTCGCACTTGTTGTCTTGGTAGAGCGCGCCCACGAAGCGGAGCAGCCAAGTAGGCCAGCCAAAATGCCGAAATAACCGCATCATGAAGCCGTGCTCGATGGACGGGAACGCGGCTTCGAAGTCGAAGAAAAAGGCGGCGGACTCCGAGCCGGCGATGTAATGCTCAGCGAGCCCCTCGTCTAGGCCCACCAGGTTGGCAAGCATTGATCGCCCCGGCAAGAACCTTCTCTGAGTCTTGGAGATCCGGCTCGCAACCGCGTCCTCAAGCACCATCCGCACAGCATTGGCCAGCAGGCGATTGTCGGCATTGGTCACGTTCAGAGGGCGGACCTTGTCGACCGCGTGGTAGAGCTCGTCCTCGGCCGTGCGCTCTGGGGCGCCTTTCGGGATAAAAAAGCAAGCTGGCGTTGAAGTCCTCGCCGTATTCATGGAGCCGGCGGAGGCCGTCTTCACTGCAGATATCGCCGAAAACCTCAAACAGCACCTCCACGGCAAGCGATTCCACTCGCCGCCAAGCGAGAAAAGGGAGGCCATCTGGGCCTGGCGAGGAAGTCCGCGAGCTTCGAATGGCGTCCCGTATGTGTTTCTTCTTGAGGCGGAACTGGCTGGCCAGGAAGGGGCGCCGGTGCTCTGGAGGACGGCGGGCCGCATCTTGCGCAAGCCGCTCTTCCAGCTTCGCCTCGTCCAAGCCGCGACGCTGGACAACCTGCCCCCAGTATTGCCCTAGAGCCTCTGCCATATCTCCAGGCGCGGTCCGCTGCTGGCCGTTCCTGCCCATGATGGAATGGATGGTTTCGAGGCGGCCTGGCCGGGGACGAAAGATCAGGCGCGTGTTGCGAGCCCTGGCCCGAGCCGCCTGGAGCTCATTGGACCCCCTGAGGTCGGCGTGAGACTTGCCCAGCTCGTCCAAGGCATGGTCCCTCGCAAGCTCGACAGCGTGGATGCGCACCTGCTGGAGTTTGGTAGTCGTGTTGCCCACGAAGTCGCATGGGTTGGTCACCAGATCGCGAAGGCGGGGGTATCGATGCAGGCAGGTCGAAACCTCCCCGGCAAGCCCGCGCTCGAAGGCACGGATGAAACGAAGAGTGGCCCCCAATCGATCTTCCAAGGTATCAGCCGCCGGGCAACCGGACCACTCCCTCTCCAAGTTCAGGCCGACCTGGCGCATGGCAGCCTTGAGGTGCCCAAGCTTCTGGATGCCCTGGTCGTTGGGGTGGTCCCGCAGCCGCTGCCCGCACTCCAGGCGCACGCGGCGTTCGTAATCCCTGTGCCCGAGAGCGTGGTCTGGAAGGGGGCGAAGATGTGGTGGAAGACGCTGCGGAGCCTGCCGGGAGAAGATCACCGCCCGGCGCGCCGACAGAGACGGTTTCCAGGCCAAGGCACAGCATGACATGTGTCTATCAAGTTGCTCCGAAGCGTGCTGGTTGAGATAGATCCTGTCGAGGCGCGAGCGTGCGCTTGCGGACGCATGCGTGGGCGCATCTTGGAACATCTCGAGGAGGCCGAAGGGCGAACCCAACACTGATTGGAAGCGTCGCTCCTCGCCCATGTCCCGGGCCCCAGAGACCCGCGTAGTAGACAAGGCCTGGCGCCCCGCCTCCTCCGCAACGTAATTGAAGTCGCCTCCGACGACTGTCAATGCATTCCGCGGCGGGGTCAGACGCCCGGCGATCCGCGACCTCAGGCAGGCCCGAAGCCCGGGGAAGCACGACGCGCGTGTCCGCTCCTGCGGACGGATATCGTAGAAGTCCATGTCTGTCAAGGCTGACCCTGTATGAAAATATGCGACTACCACGTCCAGGGCGCCCAAAGCACGTCGCAAGGAGAGCTTGAAAGCCCGCCCTTGCCATATGACCGTCTTGACTGGGTTCGGATCGAAGTGCTCCAAGAAAGAATTGCGGATGACCACCCCGACGCCTGCGTGGCCGGTAGATGGCCCAGGGGGCCACCAGCCAGAGCAGCCTACCGGAGGGTGCCAAATCGCGTGGTCACCGGCCGTGCCGTGCGCCTCCGTGACCAGTAACACGTCCACGTGCTTCATGAGCTGTTGGAGGTACTGCGTCTTCTGGGACCGCCTGATCGCGTCGACAGCAAAAAGCGCCTGGGCGTTCCACGTGCCGACCCGGAGGTCGCCTCTGAACTGCCCCAGCCGGCGATCTGGAGAGGCCGCAGACGGCGCAGGGGTGGTTATGCGGCCCGACGGGATCGGAGTGGGAGGGGCAGCGCCAAGCGCACGGCGAAGGCGATGCTGACGATAAATGCACAAAGGCACACCATCGTGATGGCCGCCTCGATCCACGTGCCGGGGGAGGACGCTGCCCTCTGGGAAGCTGAACTGGGCGAGGCGGGGCCGAAGACGATCGCCGTCGGGAACAGCAGCCTGGGGAAGGTAAGAAGAGGAAGAAATCGCGGTAGAAATACTTGACGAATGCGGCAGCTGGAACGGATGACTGCGACAGGAGCCCAAGACCTGGCGTCCCGAACAGCCCGACCCCGCCTCGGCAGGGAGGGGCTGCATGACGACCAAGAGCAAGAACCCGCTCTCACCCATGCAATCGATGATGTGAATTCCCGACGGCACCCCAGCGCCGTCCCTGCATCCTTCTGCTCGGAGGCGGGCCGATGCTAAGCCCGCCTCCGCGCGCTGTTTCCCGCCCCCGTGATCATGTCGAAGCGCTCATTCAGAACCTCGATGCCCACCTTCACCTGGCCGACGGCGATGACCTGACCGTGTAGCGCGGCGTGCACCTGAGCGACCTCGCGGGCGTCCTTCAGGAGGACCCGCACGCGCCCGCCAGCGCCGCCATGGGATGTGCTCGAACTCGCCATGCTGTAACGTCCTGCCGGCACCCTTCTCCGTGAGGCCAAGGCCGGTCGTCGTCGCAAGGTGGGTCAGGAGCAACCGCACAACCTCGCCATGTTCCCGGCCCAACTCGCCGTTGAGAACGACCTCCGTGAGGTGATCCAGCGACGCAGGGGGCTTGTGAGCCTTCTTCCGCGTGGCCGTCAGGGCTCTGGTGGTGGCGGAGGGCGTTGCTACTTTCCGCCCCCCCCGGGAGGGCTTCCAGCGCAGGAGGGTGGCGGCGGCGGACGGGTCGCTCATCAAGACGCGGTCCATCGTGCTCGCCCAGGTGTCTCCGCTGGAGCCGGAAAGCAGGAGCACCTTGCTGCTGCTTGCCACCAGCAGGTGGGTGCAAAGCGGCCAGAAACGTTGCAAGCCCAAGGCGCTGTTGATCTCCAGTATCATGGCGTCGGCGGCGGAGTACAACGCCTGCGTGCCGAAGAACGTCGTCGAAGGCAGGAGCCGTCGCAGATCCTGGAGGATGATGTTCGTGTCAAGGTCAACGAAGCTCTTGGGGAAGAGCACGTCGATGCAGACCCGCGGGATCTCGGACGTAGCAGCCGGGCTGCGACGGGGGTTGCGCCAAATCGCCTCGGCCATCAGCGGCAGCCGCATCAGCATCGAGAATGGCATGACGTCCTCGGCCCGCATGTCGAACGTGACCGGGGTGGCAGCAGCCTCAGTCTGGAGCAGCGGGGGGCGAAAATTGAGCATAGTCGGTGCTGCACGCTCGCGTGAGAAAGCGATGGTGAAAACAGCCAGGCCCATCTTGGCATGTCGCGGCGTGGTCGGGCCCGGAAGAATGAGCTCCATCGGGTAATCCGAAAACTCGCAACGTCGTACCAGCGGAGCCCATGACTCCCCCAGCAATGGGCTCCACCAGTTGTCCAAAATCGTCCCCACTTTGTGCGCGCCCAGGAAAAGAGGGAGCGGCGCGATCAGCTTCAAGGATGCCGGCTTCTGGCCCGCCGCGACACGGCGAAGTAGCGAGGCCCGGCAGCGAGAGGTCGCATTGGGGTCCTCGGGGATCCAGGCCACGACGTGCTTGTCCGCGAGCTGCTCCCAGATGTTCTCGTCGCCCTTCTCCAACAGCGTGGCGGCGGCGCGGGTGCTGTGCACATCCCAGGCGCCGGGCTGAGGGGAAGACAAAATACTTGACCACTGCGTCAGAAACCACACGTCCTGCCCCCCAGCGCACTGCCGAAGCATCTCCAGAGCCTCCTTACCCACCTCCTTCCACAATGGTAGTTTACCAGTCCGCACGCGGCGACTCTCCCGCAAGACGTCCGGGAGCTCCGTGGTGCAAGTATCCGAGGCGGCGGAGAAGTGCTGCAAAGCAGCCTCGGCCTTCGCCCGGTCCGCCTCTGACCAGTTGGCCTTGCGGCTGAGCTCGCACAGCTGAATCGCCGTGCGTGCGCGAGCAGCCACGCTCTGGGCAGAAGGTTCGGGACCGTCATTCCTCGCGAAGCCGAGGGATTGCCATGGGTCGGGGGCGGCCTCGGCGTAGCCCAGCTTCTTGAGGATAGTGTGCAACGCAGCCCAGTTGCAAGGGTACTCCACGGCGAGGGCCGCCGGGCTCGCCGCCGCAAGCGCGCAGGCCTGCACCAGCTCGAAGTGATGGAGGACCTCCTGGTCCAGCCACTGCTGGAACACCTGGCCCCGCAACAGTAAAGGGATGGACGCAGGGTTGGGCGTGACGGTCCCGGCGGCAACCGCATCAACGGCAGCGACAGCAGCGGCGGTCGTCGTCCTGATGTCCTCGTCGTCAACTTCGATCGCGTCCAGTTGTGCCATCTCGTCGTCCTCGTCCGCGTCAATGCGCAAGGCCTCCACAGCCTGCGTGGCGCCCGTGCTGTCGACCGCTGCCACGTGCAGCTCCACGGGAGGCGCCAGGCCCGGAGGCAAAGCCAGCGACCGAGCGGCTGTCGCCAGGCTGGAGACACCCCCATGCGCGGCGCAGAAGGCCCGGCCAGTGAGCGCCTCGCCCTGCACCCCATGGCTGAGGCATGTCTGACAAGGCGGCATGCCGGAGGGAAATGAGGGAAGTAAGAGTATGGTAGAGGAAGTCTGAGGAACCAGAACGCCTTTAGACAAATCGCCTTGAGCCACCCGATGACACAATCATGCTGAACCCGAAAACTTGGACCAGATTTCTTGCTATCTATATATAACGGCTCAACCATGCTACATATATAAATATATATATAATAAATGGATCAGAGGTACCAGCTACGTATATCAACATGGTTCAGAATTTGTTTATTTCGTTCAGCATGAATGCGTTTTCGGTGTAACAAACTATTTTTGTTCAACAACAGGCTACACAATTGGCCACAAAGTGTATGTTGGGCCACTTAACTTAAGCACTTACCTTGTGCTTGTAACCACGTAACACGGCTAAACTTAATACGTGCGGAGTCACTTGATATATACATACTAAGTACTTGCAAGTACTTAGCGCTATCTGATGTTGAGCATGTCACATCCGTTATATCTCACGTTAAAACTTCCGATCGTCTGGCAACCGCCAAACTTATCCAAGAAGAAGCCCTCGCGACCGCCACAAGACGGCCCCAAAAGGCCCCCGAACAGGCCCCCAAACGCCACAGGAGGGCCCCAAAACTGCCAAAAAGGACAGCAAGACAGCCCAAGAGGTCCCCAAGGGCCCTCTTGGGGCCAAAGAAGGGGAACACGAACCGACAATTATAACTTTCCGCCCCCCCCCAATTACCCTGTGACGTACCCAACCCATTTGTATCAATGGAAACGAGGAGTTGGCCGAAACTTGCATGGACACTCAACTTGATGTGTAAGCTACTTGGGACACGCGCCTATGGCGTGATGCGCAGGATAACCATACAAGAACGACAGGCGACAACTACAGGCTCGAAGAGGACATGGGGAGTCGGGAACGCAGAGCAGGAGAAAAACGTGCGGGAAGCCGAACCATCAGCACGACAGCAGCAACGGGAAGGTGACTGCAGGAGGAGAACAAGGACGAACGCGGCGTCTAATTTGAGTCTGCGGTGGGTACCCACTGTGCTGTGCCCCTCAGCAGCCCTCGAAAGTGGCGACAGTTTCACAGATCGCAGCCCACCCAGGGATGGCGAGGTCTAATTTGAATCTGCGTGTGGCGTCACTGTGCTGGGCCCCCCAGCAGGCCTCGAAAGTGGCGACAGTTTCACAGATCGCAGCCCCCCAGGGATGGCGAGGTCTAATTCTGCGGTGAGTACCCACCGCGCTTGGCCCCCCAGCAGGCCTCGAAAGTGGCAACGGTTTCACAGATCGCAGCCCCCCAAGGATGGCGAGGTCGAATTTGAGTCCGCGGTGGGTACCCACTGTGCTGGGCCCCCCAGCAGGCCTCGAAAGTGGCGACAGTTCCACATATCGCAGCCCCCCAGTGATGGCGAGGTCTAATTTGCGTCCGCGGTGGGTACCCACTGTGCTGGGCCCCCCAGCAGGCATCGAAAGTGGCGTCAGTTTCACAGATCGCAGCCCCCCAAGGACGGCGAGGTCTAAATTGAGTCCGCGGTGAGTGCCCACTGTGCTGGGCCCCCCAGCAGGCCTCGAAAGTGGCGACAGTTTCACAGATCGCAGCCCCCCAGGGATGGCGAGGTCTAATTTGAGTCCGCCGTGGGTACCCACTGTGCTGGGCCCCCCAGCAGGCCTCGAAAGTGGCGACAGTTTCACAGATCGCAGCCCCCCAGGGATGGCGAGGTCTAATTTGAGTCCGCGGGGGTACCCACTGTGCTGGGCCCCCCAGCAGGCCTCGAAAGTGGCGACAGTTTCACAGATCGCAGCCCCCCAGGGATGGCGAGGTCTAATTTGAATCCGCGGTGAGTACCCACTGTGCTGGGCCCCCCAGCAGGCCTCGAAAGTGGCGACAGTTTCACAGATCGCAGCCCCCCAGGGATGGCGAGGTCTAATTTGAATCACCCACTGTGCTGGGCCCCCCAGCAGGCCTCGAAAGTGGCGACAGTTTCACAGATCGCAGCCCCCCAGGGATGGCGAGGTCTAATTTGAGTCCGCGGTGGGTACCCACTGTGCTGGGCCCCCCAGCAGGCCTCGAAAGTGGCGACAGTTTCACAGATCGCAGCCCCCCAGGGATGGCGAGGTCTAATTTGAGTCCGCGGTGGGTACCCACTGTGCTGGGCCCCCCAGCAGGCCTCGAAAGTGGCGACAGTTTCACAGATCGCAGCCCCCCAGGGATGGCGAGGTCTAATTTGAATCCGCGTGGTACCCACTGTGCTGGGCCCCCCAGCAGGCCTCGAAAGTGGCGACAGTTTCACAGATCGCAGCCCCCCAGGGATGGCGAGGTCTAATTTGAGTCCGCGTGGGTACCCACTGTGCTGGGCCCCCCAGCAGGCCTCGAAAGTGGCGACAGTTTCACAGATCGCAGCCCCCCAGGGATGGCGAGGTCTAATTTGAGTCCGCGGTGGGTACCCACTGTGCTGGGCCCCCCAGCAGCCCTCGAAAGTGGCGACAGTTTCACAGATCGCAGCCCCCAGGGATGGCGAGGTCTAATTTGAGTCCGCGGTGGGTACCCACTGTGCTGGGCCCCCCCTCGAGCGACAGTTTCACAGATCGCCCCCCCAGGGATGGCGAGGTCTAAGTCCGCGCACTGTGCTGGGCCCCCCAGCAGGCCTCGAAAGTGGCGACAGTCACAGATCGCAGCCCCCCAGGGATGGCGAGGTCTAATTTGAGTCCGCGGTGGTACCCACTGTGCTGGGCCCCCCAGCAGGCCTCGAAAGTGGCGACAGTTTCACAGATCGCAGCCCCCCAGGGATGGCGAGGTCTAATTTGAGTCCGCGGTGTGCCCACTGTGCTGGGCCCCCCAGCAGGCCTCGAAAGTGGCGACAGTTTCACAGATCGCAGCCCCCCAGGGATGGCGAGGTCTAATTTGAATCCGCGGTGGTGCTGGGCCCCCCAGCAGGCCTCGAAAGTGGCGACAGTTTCACAGATCGCAGCCCCCCAGGGATGGCGAGGTCTAATTGAATCCGCGAGTCCGACAGTTTGACAGACCGCAGCCCCCCAGTGATGGTGAGGTCTAATTTGAGTCCGCGGTGGGTGCCCACTGTGCTGGGCCCCCCAGCAGGCTTCGAAAGTGGCGACAGTTTCACAGATCGCAGCCCCCCAGGGATGGCGAGGTCAAAGGCAGGGGGGAAGAGAGGGACGGGAAGGAAGGAAGGTTCGCGCGAGCAGTGCTCTATTCAAAACGAGAACCCAACGCAGGAGGGTTGGGAAAAACAAATTACCCTGGCGACGTACCCAACCCCTGCGCAAAAGCGGGGCGCAAATAGTTTAGGATACTTTATAAGGGGGCGATGACGGAGCGAGGGTTACATATGTCTGCAGACAGAATTCGGGAGACTCGCAGGACACTGGCTACAGGAAAAGGGCTTGATAAAGCTGATGATTTACAATTCCTGAGCACTCCTAGCCACTTCGAAAACGGGGATCACAGCAGGCCTCGAAAATGGCGACAGTTTCGCAGATCGCAGCCCCCCAGGGATGGCGAGGTCTAATTTGAATCTGCGCGTGGCCCTCACTGTGCTGGGCCCCCCAGCAGGCCTCGAATGGCGACAGTTTCGCAGATCGCAGCCCCCCAGGGATGGCGAGGTCTAATTTGAATCCGCGCGTGGCCCTCACTGTGCTGGGCCCCCCAGCAGGCCTCGAAAATGGCGACAGTTTCGCAGATCGCAGCCCCCCAGGGATGGCGAGGTCTAATTTGAATCCGCGCGTGGCCCTCACTGTGCTGGGCCCCCCAGCAGGCCTCGAAAATGGCGACAGTTTCGCAGATCGCAGCCCCCCAGGGATGGCGAGGTCTAATTTGAATCCGCGCGTGGCCCTCACTGTGCTGGGCCCCCCAGCAGGCCTCGAAAATGGCGACAGTTTCGCAGATCGCAGCCCCCCAGGGATGGCGAGGTCTAATTTGAATCCGCGCGTGGCCCTCACTGTGCTGGGCCCCCCAGCAGGCCTCGAAAATGGCGACAGTTTCGCAGATCGCAGCCCCCCAGGGATGGCGAGGTCTAATTTGAATCTGCGCGTGGCCCTCACTGTGCTGGGCCCCCCAGCAGGCCTCGAAAATGGCGACAGTTTCGCAGATCGCAGCCCCCCAGGGATGGCGAGGTCTAATTTGAATCCGCGCGTGGCCCTCACTGTGCTGGGCCCCCCAGCAGGCCTCGAAAATGGCGACAGTTTCGCAGATCGCAGCCCCCCAGGGATGGCGAGGTCTAATTTGAATCCGCGCGTGGCCCTCACTGTGCTGGGCCCCCCAGCAGGCCTCGAAAGTGGCGACAGTTTCACAGATCGCAGCCCCCCAGGGATGGCGAGGTCTAATTTGAATCCGCGCGTGGCCCTCACTGTGCTGGGCCCCCCAGCAGGCCTCGAAAGTGGCGACAGTTTCACAGATCGCAGCCCCCCAGGGATGGCGAGGTCTAATTTGAATCCGCCGCGATTACCCTCTATGCAGGACCCCCCAGCAGGCCTCGAAAGTGGCGACAGTTTCACAGATCGCAGCCCCCCAGGGATGGCGAGGTCTAATTTGAATCCGCCGCGATTACCCTCTATGCAGGACCCCCCAGCAGGCCTCGAAAGTGGCGACAGTTTCACAGATCGCAGCCCCCCAGGGATGGCGAGGTCTAATTTGAATCCGCCGCGATTACCCTCTATGCAGGACCCCCCAGCAGGCCTCGAAAGTGGCGACAGTTTCACAGATCGCAGCCCCCCAGGGATGGCGAGGTCTAATTTGAATCCGCCGCGATTACCCTCTATGCAGGACCCCCCAGCAGGCCTCGAAAGTGGCGACAGTTTCACAGATCGCAGCCCCCCAGGGATGGCGAGGTCTAATTTGAATCCGCGCGTGCCCACTGTGCTGGGCCCCCCAGCAGGCCTCGAAAGTGGCGACAGTTTCACAGATCGCAGCCCCCCAGGGATGGCGAGGTCTAATTTGAATCCGCCGCGATTACCCTCTATGCAGGACCCCCCAGCAGGCCTCGAAAGTGGCGACAGTTTCACAGATCGCA